TTAAGTAATTATATTCATTGTTTCCATTCTAAAATATATTATTATCTTAGCTTTATTTTTATCTTGCCTTTCCTTCTTTGATACTTTAAAGAAATAAATAATCACCATACTGAGATAAGGATAATGATTACTACTATGGTAATTAAGAAACATATCATGAAATACAACGACTGATATAAATGCAAAGTATCATTTTTCAGACTAATGACACGTAAAGTAAATCAGAAGTGTATTCAGATCGAAGTAGGTCAGGTCATTGCATATCTTTAGGCACATTTTGAGGAAATAACCAGAAAGCGATTGAAATTAAATGAAAATCTGACATCACTGACAACTTTTGTTATTATGTTATTCTATTTTACTAAAATTTGAAACTTTTAGTAAAACAGAATTACAAAGCAAAATAATCTTCAAATAAATAGTTGAAAGAATATGTTTTATAAGGGAATTGATACTAGCTTATCTACTTGATAATACTATAACTACCGATGCAGTTTCATAAGTATATTCGCTGCAGATATATTAATTTTTTTATTAGTAGAGTTATAGCTATTTACAAGTAATACCAGTAGTTTTTTTAATTGTCATACTTGTTAAAGTAAATATAATTATTTGTTGCATTTTTACTCATGAAAACTTTAAAAATACGTGGTAAAAATAAACATTAAATTTCATTATTTATTTTGTCTGTCAACACAAATTTTAAGATATTTATTCTACAAATGCAAATAAATGATATAAAATGCTCGTTTGAAAGACATTTTTCCGAATGGCAACAGACTCGAATGAAAAGTGAAACGACGCATTTATAGTGATTCGATGCAAAATCCCGTTTTGGAGACTATTAGACCTTTTTTGGTAAAAAATTTATAAAATTTAAATAGATTATAAATTATATACATTGTGATTACCGTACATTATTAAGGCAGTATTGCATTTAATAAAATATGATGGTTTAGGAAAGAGCAAGAAGTCCCCCCCTTTCTGAATATTATTCGCGCAAATAATGTGAAATAATTTTAAAACATGGCAGGGAAACGGGAAGAAAACTTATCTTTAATTGATTATTAAGGAAGTTTAATTTATGTAACAGAAGTAAAATTACAAATGAAATATACAATCATTTTATTTTACATAAGTCTTTCGATAATTATATTATTCAATTTTAATTGATTATTATTCAGTTTTATATTATCCCTAATACAGATTAGATACAAAATCAGATATCAGCTTAGATAAACTAATAAATCTACAAATATCAGCTTGGATAATCTAATATAAAAACAACCATTATATCTAGGAAAGGGGAAAAGAGATATTTAATGACTATTTCAATATTTAAATGGATTCAGCAGTTTCTATAAAATTCCTGTCAGTAGCATTAGTGCATAACTGAAATAAGTTCGCGCTTCATGGGTAACATATGCAAAACTTTGATTATAAAATTACGCTCAAATGAGTATTAATTTAACTTTTTTCCCATTTTCATAGAAGACTGTAAGATAAGAAATATCGTAATAAACAGATTAAGCTAAAAGATAAAATTTTTAATTCTTCATTTCTTATTGATTATCTGGTTGAAAATGCACAAGTATATAATTACAATTTTTTTACAATTGCATAATAGTTTAACAATTCGTGTTTCTGTGAGGAACTTTTCAAACATTCAGTAATTATGCATAGTAACGTCCATTACACTACGTTCCTATAAGTTTATCATCCACATTAAAAGCTAATCTTGCTACGCCAAGTATATAATTTACCTCGAAAATTTAATCAAATTTCAATTGCTTAGCAAACTAGAGATATTAAAAACTTATTTGAACGTCCACCTTAATAATTGAATATGTATTTCATTTTAAATGAGTATTTAACAGAAATAATTTTAAAAAGTATGTCCTCTAAATAATTTGTAAGAAAATTTGCAGCACTACCATTGTTGAAAAGATTTGTTCCTAATACCGTACATTACGCAACTAGTTCAGAAGTGTTTTTTTAAAGGGGCTCATACACCTTAAACCCCTCATGATCTTCGAATATGTGACTGTTGCAAGGATTGGGATATTTTATTTATTTTAAAAGCAATTACTTCCAACCTTTTACAGCTGACTACATAATATAGCTGGTTGGAACTAGTAACCAGAAAATTGTGTTGCCACAAATATTTTTTGTAATTTAATCCTGTTGTGACAAAATGTTTTATGCGTTCACGTCATGTTTTCCACCTTGCGCACATATTTTTAAAATGGCTAACGGCACATACTTGAAATTTGTTGGAATACTTTATATGGATACTATCTTCTAACTGAACCCAAAATATGATAAATATTTTAATATTAAAAAAATTTATGGCACAAAAGCATTACAGATTTTTTTAACAAAATACATTTTATAAACTCAACTCAAAATAAAAAATAACATTTAACATGAAATTCCCTGGACTTTTGGTTCACAGCAGTTTACAAATATTGTAAAAGATATATTAAGTATGGAATTAAATTATGCGATAGAATGTTTTAAACTGTGCGGGCAAGGTGGAAACATCACATGAACGCATAAAAAAATTTGTCACGAAGCAGATTAAATTAATAAAATATTTGTGGCAACACAAACTTTCTGATGACTATTTCAGAAAGCAGCTATATTATATAGTTAGCTGTAAAAAGTTCGAAGTAATTGCTTTTAAAATAAATAAGTTATCCCAATTCTTGCAACAGTCACCTATTCGAAGATCTTATGGGTTTTAAGGTGTATGAGTTTCCTTAAATGGTAATACTTTATTATGCATCGAATCGAAAATTTTTACAATAATTGAGAATTTAAAAAGTACTAATAAAAGTCATGACAACAATAACCATTCTATCTCGGTATAAGTAATAATAAAAAAATAAAAATAATTAAATACATGCGTTTGATACTGACAATTGCAATAAAATATATAACTAGATGAATATATAACTAGATGTTACAGTAGTCACATATACAAAATGTTAACGTTATACAGTTAACTGTTATGCAGGATACACACATACGTAAATACGTGCAAACGTAACGAAAGTATATCCATTTCAAAATTATTTCAGATTTATTTTACGATCCGTTTTGGTCGAAAGAGCCCTTTATTCTGTCCATACGTACAGACGTCATGCAAAAAATTAATCAAAATGGATTCAGGAATGGTCAAAATGAATATTTCCGTTGAAGTTTAATATCCGAAATTTTTCACGATTACAATACTTCCTTTATTTCGTACAAGAAATAAATCCGAAATCATTATCCGAAATAAATTCCCCCCAGTTAATTCCTATCAAAGAAAACTGCTAAAATTTATCTATAAAGCATTTTTTAAATGCCTTCGCATAAAAATAAAACATAGAACTGACACACAATAACAAAACTACCGTAGATGGCAACAGAAGCAAAGACCGTAATTCAATACTATTAAAACTTTAAAATATATTTTCCTCTGGTACCTGTTATATATTAAAAATTACTTTTTTATTTTCAATACAATACAGATCTAAGCTGAAAGTTTCGAGCTATTTTTCAGAGATATACAGCTATTATATCTGTATTAAAAGTATACATTTAAAAGCATACATCAAAAAAAAAAAAAAAAAAAAGAAAGAAAGAGAGAGAGAGTAGAAATAGAGAATAAACAAATTTAAAAAAAAATGTTTTACAGAATGAATGCTATCTTTAATGAAACACGAAAGCTAAAATTCCTCTACTTATTTTTATCTTTTAAAAGAGGTATCCAAAAAACACTTAGATAGAAATTTCTACATGAACTATAAAATATATTCTTTTATTACGTCTATAAAATAAGGCATTTAATACAAATACTACCAAAAATTCAACAGAGGGAAGATTTCGAAGTGCTTCAATAGCGCCATCTAGTATTTAGATTTGAAGATTAAAGTCTTTAAACAACAATGAATTGTTTTTTTATATGTTAGAATGAAAGACATATATAATTTTGAAACTGCGCACATTTTATGTACATATAATTTTGGTATTGTAAAAATATATATTTTTGCACATTTTAATATATTTTTCCTTCGGCTGAACGTAAAATGTTTGACATTAAAACTTCATCACTAAGTTTACAGACGCTTTCACGAATATGGACAGCAAACAATTCTAATAACTAAAAAAATTAATTATACATTTTACCAGTTTTTGTTGTGGTTGTTACATGTTAATGCTAAATTATTTTTCCCAGTTTCTAATATTTAACTAAATGGAAACAAAAACATGTCACATAAAAAATGGAAATTGTTTTCAATCGGAAAAAATCGTTTTTAATATTTACATATATAAGCCATATTGAAATTTTATGTGACAGTAAATATATAACCCAAATTTTAATAAGTAGTAGAATGAAAAATCATTTCGTAAATAACAATGATAAAATTTAATATCAGTGATCTCTTTTAATACAGCACACGCCTTAAAATTAAAATGCTGCTGCAATAAAACTCGTAATTAATGCATTTAGATACCGAATGCTTTTAGAAACAACTTAAAATGAAATGTTCTTAGTATAACTATAAATGATAATTAATCCAAAAGTTCTAATAATTTCAGACTGGTCTCCTCATATTTTCTTATAAAATTAGTTTAATAAATAAATTACCATGTAACGAATTTTTAGAGCTTTATTTTATTTTTCATCACAATATTTATTTTTAATGAAACCATAATAATCGTATCAGTATAGGTTATATCTAACGAAACTCTGCAAATTTTCCATTACCATTTTCAATTAAATAAGAGCTAATTTTTATGTAAAGTGGTTATTATATTTGGAGAAGCGAAAGGACAGTTGATTTCGCAAAAAGAGAAATATACAGTATTCGTTAGAGAAAACATCTAAAAATAATTTTTAATTCTCTAAAAATTTAGACATCAAGGAAAAACAATTGTTTTGAAGGACACCAAAAAGTAATCTTTTTTACCTTAGAAAAATATATAATTATAACGTATATATAAATTACCAGTCATTGGAGCGTATTCTCAAAAAATAAATCCATTAGCATCTTCATATTCCATTTCCATGTATAGTATGCGTTATATGGTTTTCTTTCAAAACATAAAGCAGCATCCGGTGAGAAATCTACCACAGACTGACACCTGGAGAACATAAAAACGAGAACTGATCGCTGTTGCCATCTTCAAGAAATGAAGTTTCGAAACGTCTGAAAAATATGACACCTTCGCCAGTGAAGCTCAAGTCATGCGTGCGCCGAAAGTGCACAAAGGCCATTTACACCAACAACTCAACACACAGCTACTCGGACGTCTTTTGATAAAAATGAAACGAACAAAGAATAATAATAAAAAGTAGCGGCAAGAGAAGAGAGAACACACACACCAAAAGCCGAAATGTTCATTTACATTATCGCTCGGCGTTATCTAGTTGGTTACAGTCGCTGGTGAGGGGGAAGGAGAGAAAGGAGGAGCTGGGGCCGATATCGACTTTTATCGTCGGAGGTTCGTAATCCCAAAGCAGGGTAGAAATCAGCGAAAACTGAACTTTTTTTTCTTTTATTTATTTATTTATTTTTTTATTTTTAGTCCATTCTCTTCTTCCACGATGCATGTTGGTGGGTGATAAGAGCCTTATCTCAACCCGAGATAGAATGGTTATTGTTATCATCCAATAGGAAAGCGGCTTTTGTAAACAGGCGGGTTTCTGTTGGCTGTTTGATATGATAAGCAAACTGTAAATGGGAAGGGGGGCGCTAGTGAAACTTATCTCGCCTTCGCAGGAGCACTTTCTATCTTCTATTCACTCCTCCCGTCCACTGCATCTCACCCCCACTATCCTTTCTTTTCTTTCATCCGAGTTTTCGCTGAAAGTACAACGTTCTCTCTCTCTCTCCTATCTATGCCTTGGTTCAGTTCGCGGCCATTTCCTTACGCACTTAAGTTATTTCACTGGGATGCTTTAGAATTCCCACTAAAGTTTTCATGTAAGAAGGGAACTTACTGGCTGCAAAGTAATCGTCACTTTAAGGTGCTTAGAACGAAACGGTTGAACGTTACGGCCGAAAGTTGAGAAGTCAGTTTAAAAGAAGCAGTTTGTTTCTCTTGTCGTCGCTCTCATCGGAATTATTCGGTTATCGGAACTAAATGCTCTGTGAAACAGTGTTTTTATGCAACGGTGATCAATACTGAAGGCAAGCAGTTCAGTTAAATGGTTTCTAAAAAGAAACTATTTAAAGAAATAGTTTTTAAATCCATAGCTGGGAAAGGAAAACTAAGAAAGGAAGTTAAAATTGTGTTATTTTGCAACTTCAGGAACCTCATATATTGTAAGATGACACCCCATTTATCCTCTGAAAATGCCAATTTGGTTGATAGTGAAATAAAAGAAGTTATTCAAATTAGCCCCTTTTATCTTCGTGTAAAAGATATTTAATTTCAAAACTTGCAATTTTTGATGTCATTTTCAACTTGCCTTGAAGAATCGGTTCATTTGTAGAGTCATTAGGTTAACTGGAAGCAGAAAAGATGAAAAATAGCAAGCGCCTTCGCCGGGAATCGAACCACGGACCTCTGGAATCCCGGCCCAGGGCGCTACCGTTACACCACGAAGGCACGCTAGAGAAGTGGGAGAATACTTTATATACTCCCCTTTTTAAAGGGCGACTAGGGTTTTAGGGGACCTAGTCGCCAAATCCTGGGTGCGGAGAATCATCATCCACAACCCTTTTAGTTCGGGCGCCACTTGTAGAGTCATTAGGTTAATTGGAAGCAGAAAAGATGAAAAATAGCAACCGCCTTCGCCGGGAATCGAACCACGGACCTCTGGAATACCGGCCCAGCGCGCGACCGTTACACCACGAAGGCACGCTAGAGAAGTGGGAGAATACCTTATACATTGCGTTAGAGCAATTCGAAGAATTAAGTTTAAATGAAGTGCAGCAAAAAATATGTGTAATGTAATAGGCCTTAGAAGGATGGCATATGGTGTCCACAACATATTTTTTCATCATATCTTTATTGTTGTGTTTAGTTCTCATAAAATATATAGGAAATTTGGGAAAAAATCATTAAATTTGTACTACGTTATTATGCATTCATTTTATTTCGAACAAGCATCACGTATGTAAACTTTTATGAAGTACTTAAGAGTTCGCTCCTGTAGAGATATATAAAATATTCTCTCCACAACCTGCATTCCACTTTCTGCAGTTTCGTACAATACAAAAGGAAAACAACATATAAAAATTAGGCTAAAAAAATTTCTGAAAGTGTCAGATTTTAAAGTAGCATTGCAAGATTCGTTAAGCTTTCTCTTCTCAGTCTACCAGTATGCTTTTGGACTCACGCTGAACCCCCGCCCCCTTTTCAGCTTTATTATTATGTATCGCTTTCTTCGTAAATATGAAATACATAATTTAACAACAAACTAGAAAAATTTTTAAAAGCACCATAGCGGCTAATGTTTAAAGTTCTTGATACAGTGCTAAGTGTTGGCATACATTTTTCAATCTATTTTTTTTTTTTTTTTTTTTTTTCAAATCTTTTCTTAGTTCAGTTTTCCATTTTTCTTAATCACATGACTCGCAAAGCTTCTTTTTCCTGTTATTTTATTAGTAAATATTGAACATTATTTATTACATAAAACGCTGGCCACATACACATAAAATTCAACAGCAGAAATCCAAAGCGTTTAAGAGTAGAATATCATTAGAAATAGAATTACCGATGAAGTCTTAAATATCGCCATACAGTTTTTTTTATTCGCTATATTACTTCTTTAAAACCTAGCCGCCTAAAATAGTTATCTCAAAAAAGGAAAAGAATATAATGGTTCCATTAAGTCCAGCTAGTGTAAAGCCATAAAAATCTTGAATATTTCTAATTTGACATCTCACGATTTTAAGGCATTTTTATTTTAAACAATGATATTAAAAAGCAGAAAAAATATTAATAACTGTGTTTATTGGTTTTAGATCTCTTAGTTTACTATTCGGTATATCTTCCAGATTATTTAAAATAAATATCCTAGACTTTACTGAATGGCAACAACTTATCGCGTGTATGTTAAAAGTACTTTATTTTTGGCAGTGGCAACACATTGTTTTCAAATAGCCCAGTCTATTAATTAAAAATGAAAGATAAATATCTTATATTTTTCAGGTTCGCGCGCTGGAGATAAAAATTCTTTATTTATAACAGTGTTGCCCATTGGTCACTTTCAAATCGCTAAGTTTGTTAATCAAAAACTCATTAAATTTGCACAAAATATGAAATAAATAAAAATAAATAAATGCAGGCTCGCAGGTGCACATTTTTTGGTGGAGTACTTCGTGTATTCAAATTCTGATAGCACCAAGTGCTGTTGTTTTTCTACAATACGAGGAACATACATACAGATTCTTTATTTAATTTCTTTGAAAATTATGCGGAGCGATAACATTTGTTGGCAACAATCTGAAAAGTGAATCGGACCAAAAAAATCGAAACGTGAAATGTTGATTAATGAACGCTGATTAACTATTAGCGTTTTTTAAACGTGCGATTTATAAAACATGTTAAAATGAAAAAATTTATTTTTAAAACATAGAGAACAATTAATATTTATTAAAGTGTACACACATATTTTAACGCAACTTCAGTACAATACCTACAACAAAAGTTTTACGTATTGGCAATTACAAATAATTCTGAACTTAGAAACAGATACTATTAGAGAAACAAAAATGTATTATATAAAATTAAAAGTATTTAAAAGTACCTATTTAAATCTACAACTCGGCATCATTTATAATGCTAACTGTAATCAAATTATACAGTTAAGCTGAAAAATGATAAAAAAAAGTATTATCAATAAAGACATATTACGCACATCAGTGATAAGTTATCATATATCATTAATGATATTAGACTCACAAATATATTGATTTTCGAAACTAATTCCGAACTAAAACAACCGTACAAGACTTAGATTTAGTCTAAACCTCAAAGATTTTAGTCTAATACCTCAAAGAGTTTACTATTATAGTTTCAATCTATATACAGTAAGACCCCGCTTAACGCAGGGGATACGTTCCATCAAAGTAGAGCGTAATGCGAAACAGCGCTAAACGAGGCTATCTTTACATGTAAATATTTGGGTTAGGGGAAGATGGCTAGGAAATTGGTTAGGTATTAAATTTAAAAAGTATGTTTTTTTTAATAAAAATAAAACCAAACATTTATTTCTTAAAGCCCAAATTAATACCACATTATTATTTCTTGCAAAAATAAAAACAAAATATAAATAACAAAACGAATATTCTTAAAAAAAACAAAATTCTCAGTCAGTCATATTTAGTTAGCCTTCCGCGTTTTCAGTGTTCTGCCTTTTTGTGACAAAAGCATCTAATGTTGTTTGCCTTTTTCTTTTGCGTTGTTCTCTTAAAAGTTCTTCATAAACGGATAGAGCATCTCTAACACCACGCCTTACTTTTGAGCTCCTGTCAAAATTCGGATCATTTTCAATGAATTGATCCATTATTTCAGTTATGGTAGACAAACTCCTTTTTAAAAACGCCATCGAAAGTTCTTTTTGCTCTTCTTCTGAATCACTGCTGTCAACATTTTTGTTTTTTCTTCTTGTTCAGTTTAATTCCTTGAGCTCATCATTAGAAAGACTAGCCGCTGCTTCTTGAATTATTTCTTCGACATCTTCCACATTTACCCCTTCAAAATATGTCTGTACAATACCGCACCAAACAAGAAATACAAGTACACTCTTTCGGATATGTATTTGAAACCTATCGCTGCATAATATTTCGGGGAATCCCCGTATGCTGCGAGCGATTTCGTGGAATCCCCGGGTTGAAATAAAAGAGCGCTAAACTGAAACAGCGCTAAACGAAACAGCGTTAAGCGGGGTCTTACTGTATATTAAAAAATATGTGCAAGGATTTTCATACTTTAACGTTCCAACAGAAGCTTTGTTGAGGTTATTTGTGCTCTCTCTCAGCTCGCAGTTTACAAGTCTGCTCTTGGATTCACTCCTGCTGCTTTTTTTTCTTTCTAACACTGCTTTCTTCACATTTACGCAGCATAATAATAAACACTAAAATTACAACATTTTTAAAAGCAGCGTTGTTTAGAGTTCCCGACACAATGTTTAGTGTTGTTATTAATTTTGTTTTCTGCCTTTTCTCAGTTTATCATATCAATTTCCGTTTTTTCAGTTTTCTTAGCAAGATAATTTAAACATTATCTGTCTTTTTGTTATTAATTGTCTTTTTATTCATTAAAAGTTACTTTCTTTGCACTTACATAACATAAATTTCTACAGCAAAATCCCAAAATGTTTAAAACCAGCGTATTATCTTTAGGATACCTGTTAGAGTGTTAAGTATTAACATATAATTTTTTTAATATTTCTTTTGAAAACAAAAGTTTGGTGGCAACATGCTTTTATTTGTGTTGCTACACATAGTTTTATATCGGCTAGATTATTTCTGTAAAAATAATACACAGCAATAACATCCAGTGGCAACGTTCGTTCAACGTATTCCAAAAGTGATGCGGTCAAAAGAGTTAAGTTCGAGATTAATAAGCCCTTTAGTGCTAAAAAATTTAAATACTAATAGTATAAAAATCATAAGCTTAAAAAGAAATTGCGATCATATCTCATTATGCAGATTTCTAGTGAACACTTGAAGCAATTTCAAGCTAATCATTAACGATGGATTTACTGATTACAATCGGTCCTTAGAAATTAAAAATACAGAATATCAAAATGCGTAAAGATTTAAT